ATCTGCAGCCTATAGATAAGATAACCGCTTGTAATTGACATTATTATTGCTTTATTAATTTATCTTATTTTTGTTCATTAATATGAATTTATAATAATAATAATTACTTGTCTTAATTCAAACTTGGACAGATGTTTTCCACAATACAAGTGACCTATACTTACAACTATTATATTATATTATATTATATTATATTATATTATATTATATTATATTATATTATATTATATTATATTATATTATATTATATTATATTATATTATTGTATTGTATTGGTTTTTATTGTATTGTATTGTATTGTATTATTCATTCATTCATTTTCTTGTCAGCTTAGTCCCTTTATTAATCCGGGGTCGCCACAGCGGAATGAACCGCCAACTTATACAGCAAGTTTTTACGCAGCAGATGCCCTTCCAGCCACAGCCCATCTCTGGGATTATTATATTATATTATATTATATTATATTATATTATATTATATTATATTATATTATATTATATTATATTATATTATATTATATTATATTATATTATGTTATTAATATTCATTTATGTAATTACAGTGATAATAATAATAATAACCTCTCATAATAACTTTAATGGATATTTAGTACATGTAGTATTTGAATGGTTAATCATGTTAAACTATTTAATACCAAGGCATTCTTTTTAAAATATTAATTGAACTCTGCAATTTTTTTTCTTTGCATGTGTTAACTTAAGACCCTGAGGCCTGGTCTGTTTTGATTTCTATCTGCTGTTGTACTTCTAACATCTAAGATGTTAAATAATATATTATCTCATTATGTACTTCATAAATTAGGTAGATCATTATCTGGTAAAAGCTGATGCTTAATTTTTTCAGTGATTTAGCTGATTAGCGATGGCCAAGGGCAAATCTTTTTTTTGAGTCTCTTTAGCTCACATAACAGATGTTTCAGTAGAAACACTACAGTCTTTTGACTACTGCCTAAATTCGTGTGAAACTCTGTCATCTCATCTCAAAATCATTTCAAAACTGAGTCTCTTCAGCCAAAATACCTGGAAAAAGATGTCTCTAAGCATTCCCATTCATCTCAAGGGCAGTGGCTCAGTCGACAGAAGTGTTTTCACTCAGCGGAATTCACTTACACATTCATTTTTTAACCAATTACCATGCGCTGTAAAAATGGCTGAGAGTTTAACTGTAATAAAAATGTTACAGTAAAAATATGTTACCTGATCAATAGTAAATTACCTTACTATATACGGTGAATGACCATAAATTGATTTTACCACAGTTTCCCGCATAAAACTTTAAACTCTTTATGGTTTTTGTTTGACATTACTTTGGCCTTTTTTTTCCTCGTCAGTCATGTACATTACAGTTTTATGTTACATCTCATGTTGATGAATAACATTTATTGCGTTACTTTAGTGTCATGTGTGGTGTTTAGTAGTTGTGTTAATGACGCTGAACACCTTCTACATATAGTATTAGTATGTTTCTGTGCTTGTTGATGATTTTTCGCTCAGTATGTAACTTCTGCATCACTACTTGATTTTGTTGGTATTTTTGCCTGTTTATTACTAAGGTAAAATGTAGATATTAATACTTTAAAATATTGGTGTTCTAACGATATATGAATTAATTAATAAAATATAAAAGTTAATTTAAAAGTGTTTCTATCATATTTTTAATAATATAATTCTGGCAATCAAAGCGAATTTAGTTCTCCACAAAAATTCAGCACTGCCAAAACACATAGTGAAATACAAAAAAATGTTGATGTAGGTGTAATGCTTAAGTATCAATAAACAAATGGGGTATTAAAATATCATTCTATAAATGAATATATTCTCAATATTTACCTCCAAACTAACTGGGAATTATCTGGAGTTGTACAAGAAAAGCTGAATTGTCAGATAATGATGATACATCTTTCCAATAAGCGTGATACACTGTATCAATAAAGCATTGAACGAATCTGAGTTTCTTTTGTGCATTCATTAATTACTCTGGAGGGAATTAGGGTTTCTCTGGAGTATGGCTCATCAGCTCATTGCCTGACGATAATGATCTCAATGCTCCATAATTTGCTTTGTGCCGCCTGTAGTCTACTAGAATGGCTCCACAAAAGTGACAGAGATCGCTTGTGAGAAATGTTGTCAATGTCTTTAATAACATGAAGATCTTCATACTATAACAGTATAGAACATGGCTTGTATGAAGAAATTCTTAAAATATCTTATTTTAAATATGCAAGTGAGGTGAAATCCTTGAATAATCTTTATCTAAATATCTAGATGTAGTATATTATAGCTTACATTAGACTGCATTACTAATACAGTATGTTCTACACTACAAATTTTTACACTACAACTTTTTGATCCAAAGATTCCTCTATGTAACCAGCAGCTAGCTCTCTGCAACTCTGACATGGTCACCCACTAAAGCTAAGCAGGGCTGTGTTCGTCAGTCCCTGAATGGGAGACCAAATGGTTCTAACGCCCCAGTATATTGCTCAGTGAGCGCCAACTTTTGGATGAGATGGTAAACCGAGGTCCTGACTCTCTCTCATCATAAAAATCACAATGATGCGGCGTCCTTGCCAAATTTGCCCACTGGCCTCTGTCCATCATGGCCTCCTAACCATCCCCATGGCTTTATCACTCTGTCTCATCTCCACCAATCATCTGGTGTGTGGTTTGGCGGAATATGGCTGCCGTCGTGTCATCCAGGTGGATGCTGCACACTACTGGTGGATGAGGAAATTTCCCCCAAAATCGTGTAAAGCACTTTAAGTCTCTAGAAAAAATCATTATTTAAATTTAAGGAATTATTTTAATTATTGCTCTCCAACACAATATTTAAAGATATTTTAGGATTTAAAACAATGGGGAAGGAGAAGAAAAAAATAGTAACTTGCTTCAAATATGACATATATATCAACTTACTACTATTAAGTCTTCTGGTGAAATTGTATTCATATCGCAATATATATAGCAAAATGATTGCAATGTTAGATTTGTCCAATAGCGTGCAGCCCTACTGTAAAGGAAATCTAAATTTGTAATTTACACACATTTTAACGTATCTTGGCTAGATTAAGTTCATGTTAAAACTCAGCAGTCTACCTCCAAACTCAAAAATAATCATATCTTCTTTCTTTCTCCTCCAGGCTCCATACTTTTGGCCCTCTAACTGCTGGGAGCCAGAGAACACCGACTACGGTAAGAGTGGGCTCTTGCTGGGCGAACTAACAGTGACGTAAGAGTGCACAGAGCTTTACCGTAGATGTTGTTCACAGAGCTAATATAACTCATAAGATCCTAGAGACACAGGATGCCCTGTGTTCAGCCCACAGTCTGCTTTTCTGAGATTATTGCAGCTCCGTTGGACATTCAGGCAGAATGCGGAGCAGTAGGTGTATAGAAGAACCGTCGACTGTGGGCAGATGTTCACTGATGGTCAATAGTTATTCATTCACAGTTCCTACTGTCGGTAAACTGGCCGGGCAGAGATGATAGATGCAATAGAATGTATGAAATCCAATCAAAGGCTTATGCTGAATATGTGTGCATGGGTAGAGGGAGGATTATACATGAGGGCTGATAAGGCCAAGTCTCTTATGGCCTCTTGTCTGTTTCTCTTTTCTGTGTCTGCTTCTCTCTCTTTTTCTGCTCCCTGTCATAGCCATCTATCTGTGCAAGCGGACCATGCAGAACAAGACCCGGCTGGAGCTGGCAGACTATGAGGCGGTAAGTGACCTGCTGCAAGAGATCTGACAGAGAAAACGGAAGTATTTGGGTTTGATATATTGGGTTATTTTGAACTCGATAAGTGATTTGAAGACTTTGTTGTTAAGAATAAAAGTTAGATGTGGCATTTTTAAATTATAATTTCCTCTATCCTATAACTTCATGAGCTGAGATTATAGGAAAGCCATGAAGATTGAATGTAAACACTGTGGTGCTTATGGTGCAATATCTGTTTAGTGCTGTCTTTGCTCATGGACGTTCTAAAGCTATTAACTATTTTAACTTCTACATGTATGGACATTTAGGTAAACTATGAAGTTATAGCACAGTTATTTTTGAAACTACATACTGAGCTAAAAATGATTGGAAAATTGGAAAACAGGAGTCATTGGAAAATTACGTCATGGCATAATGACTGATTGAAGTGACCCACTTCACTTTGCCCTACAGTTAAGCCTTTCCTGAGCTGTGATATCAAAGTCACCAGAGAGGGAATATGTTGTGCACTTTATAGCCTTTCAAAAATGTTAGTCACTAAATAGCTGCTATACATTATAAAGAAACATTAGCCAAGTTAATATTGCAGCTAAGTATGTTTTAGTGCTTAATCCTGTTCTGTCGACATGCACAGTTCTGTAATTTAGGGCAGGGAGACTCCTAAATCTTAAGTTGCTATTATATTTTAGCAGTAAGCAAAAATACATTGAATGGGTCAAAATTATAGACCTTTACGCCAAATTAGTCATTAGTATATTACGTGGATATCATGTTCCTTGAAGATATTTAGTACGTTTCATAAATATTGTCACCTTAGAATTATAAGGTTCTGTCTGTCATTTTTGTAAAAATGGAGTTATTGACATATTTTTATTATATGACAACTTATTTACATTATGTGATGTTTTTTATTTGTTTATATCTTAAGACATTTTTTATTTAAAAGACGAACAAACAACCAAACTCTAGCTCGGCTCTATAAAATTCTTTCTGTGAGCCAATCAGCATTTCAAATGCACGCACGAGGACCAATCAGGATCAGCTTTCAGAGTCGACTAAGTAATGCCATACCGCACAAAACTGAGAAGAAACCCGAAACTGAAAAAAATGTGTGTAAATGTGGGCATTTAGAAGCATTTTTGACATCAAGATAAAATGTAAATATTAAATGTAAAATATTTTTATTTGTGTTTATATAGTCAGTGAAACATTTTCAGTGTTTATTAAACTCATTCGCTTATTGTCTGTTTTCTTTTAAAGTATTTAAATTTGATATTAAGCCTTGAAAAGCAAATACTTAATTTAATTCATGGGGCATACAATTCAATAAATATAATTCGATAGTAAATATAAAGCATAAATAAAAATAAATAAAATTAACATCAGCACTGCACAGCATATTTAGCACAGCCATGTATGCTTAATTTGAACAAGAAAAAAATATTCATACTTAAACATTAAATAAATGTTAAAGAAAGCAAAAATGTAAGTTTCTCAAGCATCAACAAATTGTTACAATCCAATTTTTTATTTTTGTAATTATTAAACAGACTGATTGTATTTCTTGAAAAGTAATTGTAATAATCTGCCAGATAGAACCTTATAATTCCAAGCAGAAAACTTTTTAGGATTAGAAGGTTCTATGTACTTGCATTTGCCTTGTTTTTTTTTTTTTATTTATTTTTTTACCCCAATTGGAATTTAAGAGAACTTTGATAATGTACATTTAGAGTACATGTAGGGTCTCTGTCATGTAAATGCATGAAAGAGAACTGTTACACACATATTGTTTGCTATATGGAATGCAAAAACTTTGAAGCTCAACATCTTAAAATCATTTAGGACACTGATAAAACCTTATAATTCCTAGGTGACGGTATATCAAAACAATTTTGTTACTTAGCAATATGCGCTGCTAAGAGCTTAATGTGGACGCATTTAAAGTTGATTTTCTCAGTATTGAATTTTTTAACTCTCAGGTTCCTAAACCTCAAATAACTGAATCTCATCAAATATTTTCCCATTCCAACAACTCATACACCAACAGAAATCCTATTTTTTCAGATTGTTTAAATTACAATTTTGAAAAATGTACACTTGTGCCAGATTCGCAAGTTCACATTGTAATAAAGCTCAAACTTCATATCCTCGAAAAATTCAGAAATGCTTTAAGTAACAGAATATTGTGCTAATATGTTATCCAGAATTAAAATACCTTAGACTTTTCTAAAACAAAAGCTTACAGCAGAGCTTACTGTAAGAAGTACTATATCCCACGAGGAATAGGCACTAATTTGAGCTGACCTGGCATTTTTGATAAATTCTTTCTTTCTTTCTTTCTTTCTTTCTTTCTTTCTTTCTTTCTTTCTTTCTTTCTTTCTTTCTTTCTTTCTTTCTTTCTTTCTTTCTTTCTTTCTTTCTTTCTTTCTTTCTTTGTATAGCACTTTTACAATGTAGAACATAGATTATAGTTAATTAAAACAGTATAGTTTTCAGAGTTTAAGTTCAGTTTAGATTAGCTTAGTTCAGTTCAATGTGTTTTAATATTCACTGCTGGTAGTCCAAACACTAAAGAGTAATCCATCGAGGCGCAGCTCTACAAGTCCCAAACTATGCAAGCCAGTGACAACAGTGGTGAGGAAAAAAACCTTACCAATGGCCGAAAGTGAAGAAAGAAAAAAACCTTGGTAGATACCTGACTCCGTTAGCATGACCATTTGTCATATGGAAAAGCTGCAGTCTAGGCTCTTTCTTTCTTTCTTTCTTTCTTTCTTTCTTTCTTTCTTTCTTTCTTTCTTTCTTTCTTCCCATTTATACTTGTCTCTCTGTCATTCAGGAGAATCTAGCGCGACTACAGAGGGCTTTTGCCAGGAAGTGGGAGTTCATCTTCATGCAGGCTGAGGCTCAGGTCAAGTAAGTGCTGTTGTCAGGACAACTATGCAAACGGTTGCTCTCACTCATACCTGCTCTCTCATGTTGAAGAAAGATCAGCCCACACACATTCACACAAAGACATACTGTATATACACCAGCTCTCACTATGATGTAACACAATAACATTGCTGAAGAGCCGTCCTTATGGGCGAGACGTATTAGCATGCGTGTTTGATTTGGAGAGGTTTGATTGAAGCCATCTCTCGCTTGGCTGAAGAGCCTCATCTGATGGCCGAGGGCTGCAAACACAAGTCAAGCCTCCTCTGATTTTTGATCATCGGTGCATCTCTATTTGTTTTTCATGACCAGAACCCCAGATCTGGGGAGACGGAGAACAGAAGAGATGAATGATAGAGTTTCAGGGGCTCAAAAGCAGGATCAGTGAGAGATGGAGAGAGTGATGCAGCAAATGTCAGTTACGTAAGAGTGAAGCAGCAGGAATGGAAATGAATTAGCTGCGCTCGCAGGCAGGTTGCAACTTTGATGAGCGCAAGGGCTTTGCTCTTTGTCTGTTTTAACGTGCGAGGCAGAACATGCACGTGTGTGTGGATTGGGAGCGTCTCCTGCTCTTTGTTTAATATTAATGTCTTGTAGCTTTGTGTTTCTTTGATTTCATAGAATCGACAGGAAAAAAGACAAAACGGAGAGGAAGATTCTGGATAGTCAAGAGAGAGCCTTCTGGGATGTTCACCGTCCTGTGGTGCGTGAGGGGTGGATCCAGTTCAAGATGTCTGCATCTTGTTTGAATTCATTTGATTAAATAAGTGCACTGTAAAAATAAAGCACAAAACACCACATTGGCTCAGTTGAAAACAGCCAGTTCTACATCACTTTATTTTGATACCCCTTTAAAGGGGTGGTCCACTACGATATCATATTTTAAACTTTAGTTGATGTGTAATGTAGCTGTGTGAACATAAACAACATTTCTGAATGTAAGTCGCTTAACGTTCAATGCAAAGGGAGACATTGGCTTTTACAGAGTTAGCTTAGCAAAGCCTACAACGAACAAAACTTGGGGACTATAGAAAAATACATCCGGGTAGTGAGATCACATTCACCATACGCATCCATCCCGTTGCCGCAAAGGCGCTGTAATGTTATACCAGAGAAAGCTAAAATACCGTCTATTTCAACAGAGCTTGTTCTGTTTCTGGTGACGTGGAGTCGATCCGCAAATCACAACACATTATGTTAGCTGACCAATCAGAGTCTCTTGAGGGCGGGCCTTCAGAGGAACTAGGAAATATGTCAATCGTTTTTATGTTAGCTGAGTAGCTGTAAAACTTAAAGTAAGATATATGAAAAAATAGCCAGATTTTCTAGTGAAACATGAGCACACATTGCTTTACACCTTATAAACATGGTTAAGCCTAAAAAAACTCTCTGGACCACTTCTTTAAGACACTTTGTTGACTGTAAAACCTTGTTTACACCTAATATTGTGGTGCATTAAATCAGTTTTAGCACAAAAGGACTTTACTAAATACAGGTGTATATGGGGTTTAAATCATTTTCAGCATGTCCACTTTTGACCATGTTTCAACAACTAAATACAACCTCCTCACTGCCAGCTGAGCTAATTTTTGAAATTATTATTTTTTTAAGTTTAGAAAACCCCCACATATACACTGCATAGATTTTTCCCAAAAATTCATAAATGAAAAAAAAAAAAAAAGATGGAATAAAATGCCAGGTGTAAATGAGAATTTGTCTCTCTCTACTTGTGAGCCAATTGACCAAAACAAAATGCAATGTTTAAACAGGAACTTTGTAAATTTGCAACTACATATCAACTAGCAGTTATTAGGAGAATGTATACTTAATATCTGCTTACACTTTATTTTGATGATCTCCAACAGATTTATTCTATCTACTAATGATCTAAGAGTTAGCTGCTTTAGTTAAAATAGCATAGTCTAAAATGGATAAAGGTACTGAAAAACCCTCTAAAGACTTTACAATTTATTTGATGATTAAAATGAAATCAAATCACTTAAAATACATCTTCCTTGACTACATAACAGGGTTATTTAAAAGGTGTCTACACTGTAAAATATTTGTTTATTAACAGTTTCCGTACTTTGTGTTTTTAGTCTATTTACGGTTGGGAATTTCATAATGGGTCCTTGATCTCGGCTCTGTTAGCTTTTGATGTTGAAAATTCAAGTTAAACAAACTGACTTTTATTGACATTTTAGTAGTTTGAAAATATAATGCATAAAAAATAATATATATAAAAATGAATATGTAAAATAACAGAAAAATGCACTGGCAGCTTATAACAAGGTTTTTGTACTATAATATACAACACCAACCCAGACAATGCATCACTCTAAACTATTAAAATATTTTATAAAAGTTACTTTTTTCCAACTTTTTAAGGTTAAAAGTTGTCAAAAGAAAGATCAACTCTCATAATGCGATTCAAAAACAAAAATAATAAAAATAAAAAATAAAAACATGATTCACAAAATAGAGAAAACTTTAGATTTACGGATATTTTTTACAGTGTAGACGTTCTCAATAGACTTCTCTATGATTCTGATAACCTGAAATTATATCAAAAACATTCATTGTGTTATAAATTTTGATAATGGGTGTGCTGCTTAATATTTATCAATAAAACTTATGTATTTTCCCCTCAATATTCTTTGATCTATAGAAAGTTCAAAAGAACAGCATTTATCTGAAATGGAAACTTTTGTAACATTTTATTTTTTACATAAATGAAAAAGTTTGTTTTGTACAATTAGCTTATTAAAAAACAAAATACAAAATCCTGTGTGAATGTGGCATGCTGATTGCTGTGGGAAATGCACATATCAGAACAATATTTCATAGGTGATTTCCCTGTGCTTGTCATTCACAGCCTGGGTGTGTCAACACTACGGAGATGGACATCAGGAAGTGTCGTCGCCTGAAGAACCCTCAGCGAGTGAAAAAGGTGCTGATGCTGTATTAGTGTGTGTGCTGTACACAAGAGACAGTAGCTATTTTTTTGGTAGTATTGTGACATCTCTGTGTGGTCTCTGTCTGGCAGTCAGTGTATGGAGTAGTGGACGACACACAGACTCAGAGTCCTGTTCACACACCTGCACAGCAGAGCAGCAAGGACACCAAAGAGGATGTAGAGAAAGAGGTGAGTGCATCCATGCTGTCAGTTTGATTCTCGACAGCTTCACAGCAGCTATTAATATTTAGCACAGATCCCTCACAAGCTCATATGGAGATGCAGTGAGTTACGCTGTTGTGTTTTTTTTTTAGATTCTGTTCTTAAACACTCAGTTGGATCGGCACTGTATGAAAATGTCCAAAGTTGCTGAGACGTAAGTCTTCTTTCTTGATCTGTTTAATGAAATGCAGAATTATGCTGGGATATATTTTTACATGCAGAAACATGTTATGCTTTCAGCTTGCTGTAGTACAGTTATGGCTACTGAGAATGCGTGGGTGATCTAAAATTAAAGCACGTTGATAAAATAAGTTTCTATTTCAAAGCGGTATTCTTTCTTGTGCTTTTTTTCTTCAGTACAGTTTTTAATATAATATTTGAATAGGCCTAAATAATCAAGTGTGTATTTTATAGCCTATTTATTTAGACATCTGTGTGTGTTATCTTATACTATACTACTGACTGTTAGCTTATTTTAAACTATGGAGCTCTAAACATAATTCGAATTACAAATTCACTTCCACGGCCATGTCTTATTAATACATATCCTTGTTTTAATTAATTTTATACTTTAAAAATGAATTATGAAATCAATAATTCGTTCCTCGATTAGTCTTACTAAAACCCTGAAACAAAAGAATTTACATAAAAAGTAATTCATGGCATTTAAGCCTGAAGAAAAGAACACGTACGACATTCAAATGGAATAGATTCTAAATTTAATTTTTAATTGAAGTCATAATATGCAGCTTAAAATACTATTCTAAATTCGTGCCCGCTATTTTATTTGACGAAAAAAACATTTTTTTTTTTAATCATGTTTTTGATTTCTTCATATGTTTTCCAGAATGCTGGTTCTTAAAAAGCAGTCAATTAGTATATTTGTTTTAATCTAAATTTGTAATTTAAGTGAAAAGTATATTGGGCAGGGTCCGTGTACGTTGCGTTCATTCGATTTTTGATCCTAAACGAAATTTAAAAAACGAGGAAACGGCCGTTTTTCGTTTTTTTATTTGGCTACAAAAAAATTTAATAACTGATTTTGGCTCGATTTTCTTTTTTTGGTTTAGGGTAGGAAAACGGATAAATGACTTTAAAATTCATTATCCAAATGTAGGCGGTTCTGAAACGCCCATTTCCTCTGATTGGTCAATCAAATCTGGGCTCCTGACGTCGCCTTCAAAATAACAGTCCTGTAGTCTTCGTCCTCTGCGGATCAGCACCCAGGCATTTAATATATTATATTTAATATATAATATATTAGCAGTATTATTAGACATTTATCATTACAATTTATCATTACTGTTATAGTTCGCCGCCAAATTTGCTGCTTTGCACCTGATACTGAGCAAGATTTGCGAGCAGCACTTGGTTTGCACGATTGTTTCCAAGCTAGGCCTATATAATAGTAATAATAATAATAATAATGATAATAATAATACTAATAATAATAATAAGCCTTCCTTTCGAGACTTTCGCTGGATTAATGTCGAGTACAAAATATCTGTTTTAACAGTTGTCAGTATTTTGTGATTTTTACTTTTTTATTATTTATTATTTATGTATTTATTTACATTGTCTGGGCTGGTGTTGTATATTATGCTACAAAAACTTTGTAATAAACTGTGTTTACATTAATTTATCTATAGCCTATATTATTTCTTAAACATTATATTACTTCAAAAGTCCACAGAGCAGATAGGTCCCATAAATGAACGATGCAAGAGTCGGATCCAACAGCCAAAGAGAACTATGATCTTTATTTTTTTCGTTTAAAATAACTGTTTAATATACATAATACACCAAATTTACGTATCATTTGAACCACATACTAGAACATAGGCCTATGCCTGATACATTCATTGCATATGCATAAATTATATAAAAACAGCAGTATAATTATTTGACATTAAATTAACGTCACTGCCAAACTTCTTGCTGCTATGCTCCTGATGCTGAGCAAAATAAAGCCATTTCTGAGCAGCACATTGCATTATTGTTTCCGAGCTAGGCGCAGCTTTATAATACGTGATTATTTTCACGTATTATTGTGATGTAATTAAAACTAGACCTATTTAACACATACATATATATATATATATATATATATATATATATATATATATATATATCAAATACATATATCAAAGTCCCTTTATAGTCTTTGCCTCTCTCTCTCTCTCTCTCTCTCTTTCTTTATGTGTGTGTGTGTGTGTGTGTGTGTGTGTGTGTGTGTGTGTGTGTGTGTGCATAGGCTATATAGCCTAGAGAGGAAAAAAAGAGAGAAAGCGAGAGATGGATAGATGGATATGCGTACATGTAAGGATGAAAGCTTAAATTCAGCCGAATATTAATGAAATACTTTAATTGGCCATATGGCTGTTTCCGAACACTGCCTTTTGTGTTTTATTTGGATATTACAAAATTAAATAGTCAAAATGTATTTTTTTTACCATTCTCTCTGGCTTTTTTCAATAACAAAGAATTATATTTCAAAACAACACTTTAAAATTTATTACTTACGCTAAATTAATAATAGATTTACTGTAGAGCTCAGCAGTTTACTCCGTGAATTCGCAAGAGCTTATATGGGAGTATTTTTTAAGCGCTAAAGTCTACATTTTTATTTAATCGGGTGGATCAGGTGATAGGATCAGTCATTGCTTATGCAAACGTCATCTACGTTCTGAAAAATAATAAGGTGTTTTAAAAATGTGTATCTTGACAAACTGGCACAAATTTGGATATAAAAATCTTTCATCGTGGCCAGACACGCGCAATCTCTCACAATGAGTTTACTGCACAAGGAGGATGTTGTTCATAAAAAAAAGCAAAGACGGCTCCTTCAAGAATATAAGATTTTTAATTGTTTTGTAAGTGCACTCAGGCATATGTTTTTGCATATCACTATAATTCTTTACAAAAGATTGTTTAATTATTCTGTTTTCGAACTGTACATTTATTCTTTACCTGTTATGTTATTATGTGGGCGTGGTTAGAGGTCCGCTCGCGAGTTCAATGAATTTGACACAGTAACGGAAGAGGAACAGAGGAAAAGGCAAGTGCACATCGCGATGCTTAGTCGACAGTTTAAAGAATTATAGCCAACAAGATTACAACCACACCATTCCAAGAGCAAGCAGTTTGACTGAATCTTATCAGATGAGAAGAAGATGTGGTGTGATTTGCTTCGGAGTTTGACATAACTTTATAACCACACACATACACAATCACCTGCAACTGCATAAAAATTTACAGCAACATTTAACTTCATCTGATAACTTGTTTTAACACAATAACTCCTCATTTTACATTATACGTTCATGGCATATGAAAATATAGCTACGATCCCGGCAAATGTTGCATAATGTCCACGGATCGTCTGCTGAAGTGATCGCTGGACCTCCTGTTTATAAGGTGGACTTATTCTCTAAAACTATGGGACTTGTTTCATCACTATATTACAACTTCTCAGTATTAAAATTATTGTCATTCTTATGTGATAATTGTTTACCATTTACGTGGGCCTATGCTATTTTGTTTGATTTGTATTGTGATGATTATGTTTACACATTAATCATAAAGAAATTAATACATTGTTTAAACATAATAACTTGTGTCTGACCTCTTTACTCTTCTTCTATTCTTTGGACATCAATATATCATTTAAGGTGGTATAGAACCGTACAGTTATCAGTGCATTCATACAGGCTTCAATACAAATTCTGTATATTTTTTCAAACTGAGTTAACCGGGGAATACCTTCATTGCTGCAAAGAGTTTGTAAGGCTGTCCTGGCTCATTCAAATCACGGAATTAAATCGAAACTGACAGCCGCAATGGATGATTTTGATATTAATAGCCAATACAGTTTAATTTAGGCTACTCTGAAATTGTGAATATTTCACTTTAATTTTATTTATATTATTATTTTATTTAACAAAATATTTTGTGTTTTGGCACTGAAGCCAGGCCTATATAGGGGACCTCAAATATTGTTGTTTGTAGTTAACTGGCCAACAAAAAATACATTTAAGATATCTTGCTTATACAAATTATACCAAACAAAATTCGTTCCAAAAAGCTCATCTTTCCAACAAAAAAAGCCTATATGAAGTGTATTTTCTTTGTTAGGGCCGGTCTGCTATACAGTGCTGTGGATGAATTGTTTTGCTAATAAGGATTTAATTATAGGCCTATGCTCACTGTAATTTCTGTATTACAAACATTTACATTTTAAAGTTATTATTTTACGAATTATGTCATCTGCCTTTTCCTCGGTGCAGATCACAATCGTAAAACTGTCGTGCTCGGAAATCTTGCTCAGCATCAGGTGCATAGCAGCAAAAATGGCTGCAAACTATAACTTTTTTTTAAATGATAAATTGTAAGGATAAATGTCTAATAATATATATCAAATAATAATAATTAAATGCCTGGGTGCTGATCCACAGAGGACTACAAGACTATTATTTTGAGGGCGAGGTCAGGAGCTCAGATTTGGTAAATAAAAAATTAATAATTATAATTATATGTTTTTGTATAATTTATGCATAAGCAATGGATGAATCAGGCATAGGCCTATGTTCTAGTATGTGGTTCAAATGATATGTAAATTTAGTGTATTATGTTAAACAGTTATTTTAAACAAAAAAAAATTAAGATCATCGTTCTCTTTGACAGTTTGATTCTACTTGCATCATTCTCATCACCTGCAGCTGCTGCCAAAGTGAAACGCGGCGCCTAGCTGCGCCTCCCTCATATCTATAGTAAGATGTCCAGCTTATAGGCTAAAGATAAATTGATAAAATAACAGAAAATGCACTGACAGTTTATTACAAAGTTTTTGTAGCATAATATACAACACCAGCCCAGACAATATAAATTAATACATAAATAATAAAAAAAAAATCACAAAATACTGAAAACTGTTAATTTACAGATATGTACTCGACATTAATCCAGCAAAAGTCTCGAAAGGAATTGGCTTGCTGCGTGAGAGAAAATGTGTGTGTGTTCCAATGAACTCTTATTCTGGCCCTGCTAACAACTATAAAAATAAAAACTAAACAATAAAAACTATATAATAATAATAATAATAATAATAATAATAATAATTATTATTATTATTATTATTATTACTATTATATAGGC